TTTTTTTTTTTTTTTTTTTTTGTCTAAAATATTATTATTCATTTGTTTTTTTTTTTTACCACTTTTTTTTCATCAATAGATTTTCTTAGATTTTTGTTTTCCGATGTTATTTTTCTATTATTAAAAAAAGAAAAAAAACACATAAAAAATTTATATTATTTTTATTTAAATTTTTTTTTTTTTTTTTTGTATTATTACTGAATATTATTATGTAACTGCTTTTCATTATTTTTTAAACTATTTACAGTTCTTTCTAATGAGTTTAAATAAAAATATAACATCTTTTTTTCTTTCTGTTATAATTAAAAAAAAAAAAAAAAAAAAAAAAAAAGTGTATATATTATATGAAAATACAACACTTATTATATATTAATAAATATTTAATTTTATTTTTATATAACCTTGACTCTTTGTAACATTATTTGATAGGTATATTTAGAATGTTTCAAATTTTCAAATTTGCTTAATATATCTTCATTTTTGGTTTTTAATTCTTCATATTCCTTATTTTAGTATATATATATATATATATATATTGTATTATTTTATATAAATATAATGAAAATTATTCTATTTTTAGTTTATTGTTACAATTTTTTGTTGACCCAAAGAAATTTTGTTTAGTTTTAATTCTCTATTTAATAGTTCTAAGTTTTTCTACATTTAAATAAAAAAAAAATATAACTTTTTTTTTGTAAATTTTTATACATTTTTCTGCTTTATATTTTTGGTTTTACCTTAGTATGCTCATATTTATGAAGTGTAGTTTCTCCTTTTTCTTTTATAAAGTTAAATTTTTTTTTAACAGAGTATACAATTCCTTCTGTATTTTCATTTAATTTTTCATTATCTTTCTAAAAAAGGAAAAAAGGAAAAAATGAAAATAATAAAAAGAATTAAAATAAAATATATATATGTTTTTATTCGATAATTCCCTTTTAAAATACAATGTAAAATATCATATAATATTATATATACATTATATATTTATATTTTTTTTTTTTTTTTTTTTTTTTGTTAATACTTTATAAAAAGGTAGTAAATCCTTTAAATTAGTTAATTTATCGTTGTTTTGATTTTTCATTTTTGCATTATTTCTATATTTTTTTTTTAATTTTTTAGATTTTCGATTCTTAATTTTTATAAATTTTTTAGTTAAACATTGTTAGAAACTTTTTTTAAATTTTTAATTATTTTTCTTTAATAATCAAAAAAAAACATTTTTAATAATCAAAAATAGACAGGATACATAAAGAAAAAATAAGTAGACAATAAATTATTCTACAAAAAAAAAAAAAATACGTGATTTGAAAAAATATTTTTTCCTAAAATTTTTTTATTATAACTAAAAATTAATTTGAAGTCTTAAAATTTTTTTAATTTTAATTTTATTATATTTTTATATATAATTTAGAATAGTGTTTATGTATAGCTTTATAAAAATTTTTTTTCTTTTAAAAATAATACTGTAAGAGAAAAAAAAAAATTTATATTTTTCTTCATAAATATTTATAAATATATAAAAAATAAAAAAAAATTATAAAAAATATAGAAAAAAAAAAAAAATAATAATAATAAAATTTTTTATTATAAAATAAAAACTTATTAAGTAAGCATTAGTAAAAAATAGAAATATGAAGAAAAAAATATGAATTAAATTTATTCTCTATTTTTTTATATATGTCCTTTAAATTTTAAAATGTACTAAAAATTATGCTTTTCTTTTTCTTTTTCTTTTTCTTTTTCCTTTTCTTTTTCTTTTTCTTTCTTTTTTTCTCTCTTTTTTTTATTTTAATAATAAATATGTATATTAATTTAAATATTTAGTAAATTTAAAAAATTGTTTATATAAATATTTAAACTAAATTCTTCTTAATTATACTTTTTGTAAAATTACAAATATGTACTATTTTTGAAATGTGTGTAACTTGCACATAAATGTATATTTTAAATTTTCATAATTTTTATTTTATTAATTTGTTCGATTTTATATATTATTCTGATATATTATTATCATTGTTGATATATATATATAGATTTGAATAAATTGTTATTTTTAATTTTTCTAGAAAATAGTATAGTTTTTTTTTTTTTTTTTTCTTAAGGAGGTGTTGATAATACTGTTCCGATAACATTAATTTGAGATATACCTCCATCAGGATGTAAAGAAACTTTAAAATGAGTAGCTGTTCTTTCCATAATAGTAAAATTATATTCCAATAAATTGAAATTATAAAATGTTTTTTGTTGATCTGTAGCTAGTTTACATGGTGGTAGCTGTAACCAATCAATTTTTTTTTTTTGTAATTTTTCATCTTCTTCAAAAATTCTTTTTTGTTCTAACAAATCTAAAGTAAGAATATCAATGCAATCTAATAAATAAATCTGAATACATTCTGGATGATCATATTTATAATTTCCTATATCTATTGTAAAATTTTCAATAATACCTCTAACACCAAATTTAAAGATAGAAATATTTTTTATAGAATTATAAATGAGTGTTCTTAAAATAATAGGAGGTCTATTAAATAATCTATTAGTACAAAATCCTTCTGTCTTATAAGAATCAATCATATTTTTTGGGTGTCCTTTATATATATCATCACAATGATAATATATTAAAGTGCACCCATTTTCAGGCTTATTTAAAAATATTTTTTGTTTTGATACTATTGTATGCTTTTTAAATAAAGAAACAAACTCTCCATATAAATTTATTTTATTAATTCCTCCATCTGGATATAAATTAATTCTAATATGTGTCCAGGGTTTAATTAATGATTGGTCATTTATTTTAAAATAATATAATTTTTTTTTTGTAAAACATTTTAAGAAATCAACACAATCAGCTTGCAACAATTCTATCCATGGTGTATCTTGACTTTCCAATAAATCTGAGATAGATTTATCTATTTTATAAGATTCTAAAAAATTGTAACTTTTTTTTTTTACAAGTTTTTCATCTTTTTCTGTTTCACTGATAATGAATTCTTCTTCTTTAATTACATCATCTATTGAACAATTTTCTACAACTTCAATTGACAAATGAGGGCATATATCTTCATCAATGTTTTCAAAATTTAATTCAATACCATAAATAATACTTGGATATTTTAATTTTAATATTAACCATTCATGTCCAACGTCTCTTCTTCTCCTTGTTATCCATCCCATTTTATCATCTACCAATAAATTATCTGATTTCCCAATAGACTCATCAGTAACAAAAAGAACCTTTGAACCATAATGTTTAGATAAAACATTATTAAAATTTAGAAAATTTACTTCATTTATAGATTCAATTTCTTTAGATGGTATTTTTATACTTCTACTAGTTATCCAATTAAAAAAACCATTAAAAATATTCAGAAATTTCTTTTTTTTTTTTTGTTTACGATTTTCTTCATTATTATTATTATTTTCTTCATTTTCATATAATTTTCTTTTTTTAGAAATTTTTGTTTCCTTTGTTTGACATAAAATTTTATTTTCTTCTTCATTTATATCTTTGCATTCATTCATTTTCTTCTTACTTTTTTTTTTTTTTTTTTTTTCTATGTGAAAAATTGTTTTCTTTAAATACTATTCCATTTAACATTTCATATTTAAAATATTAATATGTATATATATATTATATATATATAAAATATATATATAAAATATATACATAAAATATATACATAAAATATATTCTTGTATATTTATTTAAATGCATGTCTTTTAATAGAATAAAATTTGAATAACATACATATCTCTTCACAAAAATATAAAAAGAATCTATATTTTCTTTGTATTTACAAAACAGGAGTATATTATATTTATATTTTTTTATATTTTTTTTTTTTTTTTTATATATTTTTTATTTATGTTATATAATCATTTCTATTATTATAATAATAAAAATTGATATTTCAAAGCAGTAAGAAATTTTTAATTTTCCTTAAAATTATTTCAATTTAATAAAATAATAACAATTATTACTATTTAATAAAGTTATTAATATAATTTCTATAATTAATATTGGAAACACATTTATTAATCTTATAATAATTAATTTCAACTTAATTTTTTTTCATTATTGTTTCTATTTATGCTGGTAATGATAAAGCTAGTTATTTATATAATAGACTTATTAACTAATTACAATTTTTATTAAATACTTATAAAATAATATAAATCTTCTTAAAATAACTGTTACTAATTATAAAGAATCATACCAAATATTTTTTAATATAAATTCTTTTATAAAAAAGGAAATATGTATAAACATTAAAATAATACTTTTTTATACATTTTTATATACAATTTTTAAAAATTAAAATATATTAATAATAATAAAAATATATATATATAGGATTTATGAGTCCTATAAGAATAAATTATTAAAAATAATTTATATAAAAGGACCTTGTAATTAAAATGAAATATCTATATATTCAAAAAGTTGAAATACTTCTTTTTAAAATAAATATTATTAGCAAAGTATGAAATAAACAAAAACTTTTTTCTAGGAAAAGCATTTTTTTTTTTTTTTTTTTTTTTTTTTTTTTTTTTTTGTGTG